GGCGTCGTTCACCTGCGCCGCCTAGCTCAAGGCAACTGATGGGATCTGACGATGAAGTGCAAAGAAGAGATGGATTGGTGTAATCCACATCAAACACAGCCCTTCAAAAATTCAATAATACCAAAAACGAACGGAAAAAATGAATGACTGGAAATGGAAAGCCTGTGATGATGAATGATCATAACTTACTTTTTCCTTGTCTCCCATTCCTCACGCAGACCTTGGAGTGTAGCATGGACGGATTCTATCTTGCTCATTCGATGCTCAGGTGGTGGTGGTATTACATTCTCACGTGGGGACATACCCAGAAAATCATTGCGCGAGTTAGATGGACCTGGAACATCATTCCCAGGGCTCGCCGCAACCACCCCACCACTCATCTTGTGAGTCGCTCAACCACTACCTCCTGCCCCTGAAGATGTCCTATTCGCACCTGGTAAAAAATAGGAGTAAATCATCACAGTGTGATAGAAAGTAATAATAAACGCAATAATTGACCATGGAAAAAAACCATAACACAAAACGATACGTCAAACAAAATAACTTTATCAGAATTGCAAGATAATTTGATTAGATCAATTTTCCCAAAATAGCCCGTATAGTAAGTAAACAACTTGTGGCATAGTTCAAAGATCAAGGTCGTGACGTCGGCTGCGCTCCGGATGGTCGAGGTAGTTGTGTAGTAGTGTGAGTAGATGACGTTGCTGCCGCCGCACGGCCCATACTGATTTTGAGACCTTCGCCTACCATGGTTGCCCGTACAAGACGCACCGTTTCCTCTTTGTTGAAGGTAGGCTAGGATAAGAGTGAAATCAAAAATACAGATTCCAGAAACGGAAAAATGCACAGCAAGAGAAAATACGGGATGAGCTGAAATGTTTTGCAGACATACCTTTTCAGCAAAATTCTCGTTGTGGGCGCGATCGGAAGAGTGAAGACTTTGCAGTAAAAGATCGACATACTTATTCAGATGTGTAATTTGTTTGTTAATCACATCTTGCCCTGAAAGGAGCCATCAAGCAATAAAGATGAGTGCATGAAATAAGTAAGCGTCTCACCCTTTTGGTTCTTATCTTGTTCCAGGATCATCTCTTCGGATTCCATTTCAGGATTCAACTTTGTACGCAAGTAGTCGGGAACAACATCATGATTCCACGAATGAACGCGGTAAGATGTCAAATTCTAAAGTCTTCACACATCAATCTGTTTACAGGAGAAACAGAACAATTTTGCTCATAATTTGAGAAAGCATGGTGACAAACACAAAGTGAAGAGTAGATTTATGAGGTTAAATAAAAATGTGTGGACTAGTTAATCCTCAAAGCTGAAAGGCATTGTCCAGGTCAACTTGAGAAAATTGGGGTCTTGACACAGTGTGAGAGTACGGCTCCTGACTAACGCA